GTGTGAAAATTACAGCTACGATTCGCCATGGGCCGAAATCAACATGTGTTCGACGTTTTTCGTCACGAAGCACAGCTGTGGGACAATGTGTCATGTTTGGGTGACGAACCGGCTAGTCGATCCTGTTGAATTCTCGGCTTGAGGGGATGCCAAAGAGCATGTTACGAGGCTTGGGAGTTTCACGGTGCCAGCCAAAACTAAATGCCTAAACCATCTATACACATACATCAGACCTTTAGGGAAGCAAACAGCATGTCTTTCACGAACCCGAATTTCATGTAGATGTCCAGCGGCACGAACAAACATAAACTGTGGTAAATAGGGATGCCCAAAGAAAGTTTCACACTGACTGCTCTCGGCCTGGCACTTTCGATGCGAGCGACTGATCAAATCAAAGATGGAGTTGGACGGTTGACTGTCGAATAACGAATAGACAAGCAAATCAATCACGACATGCGCGTAGTCGGTGTTGTCACCAAGCGCTTATTATTGAATCACCTTGTATCCGCAACAAAAAAAAACTAACGCCCACGCACATTAACTTTCCATGAGCGATCAGTTCAAGCCTGGCTTCATTGCTTTGTGTATCACCGTGCAGCATCGTGCTGCCACTCACACCCGCAATAAATTCTGTAGGTCGGCAGACACCAGCTTCTGCAGATTTTGGAAATCGTACTCTCAATAAATATTTCCACAAGCAACCGTGTATCACCGTGTATCACCGTGTAGTCGACGCCATAGACCAGCGTTTGACCGTGTATCACCGTGTATCTGCAGTTTCGAAAACTTATTCAAGAATTATACTCAATATTCAAAAAAAGATTGCCACAAGCATCCGTGTATCGACCGTGTATCTGCGTGTAGTCAACGGCATAGGCCAGCAATTGACCGTGTATCACCGTCTATTTGCAACTGCCGAAGGTGACCGATTCGTCTTCAAAAATCTGTTGTGCAGCAGGCAAACGTCATCTTTGGTTTTCGAGCATTTGAGAATGCACGATTATGTTTATTTCTTGTTTCGAAAGCAAGCCTGGCGCGGGGAACCAAGGTTTGCATCGCAAAAGGTGATCAACCGTGTGCTGTTTGGTGTATAGTAGATGCACTCGCGCAACTATGTCGTGTGTCCATGCACACATGGATAATCATATGTGTGTACACCCCGCACCCTTCACCTGCGTTTTGGAAGGAGCACTGCGTCCGCGCAGCATCCCGACAAACAAAAAAAACCTGGGCAACTGGAAGCACAATGCTTGTGCCCCCTAATAAGCAAGCAGCTCTATACGCATCACATCAGTATAATCCCCGAAAGAAGCAATGGTTTGTCGCATACGTGGCGCACAAGCATGCATCATGTACGTAGCACGATACTTCGATAAACGGAGCACCCACAATCGCACACAATGGAACGCCCCAATACAACCATTACTTCCAAAATGCACCTTGCACTGGGAAGCTTCTCAAACCAGTATACTTAGCAGTGCGCTCATTTGCTGTTGCAGTTGTCGTTTTTCGGATGCTAACTGCATGCTTCATCCTTATGCGATGTTGCAGGCGTCCTGTTTCCTCCGAGCAAGTATCACGGCAGTTCTGTTCGTTCTGCAAGAAATTATGAGCAGTACTGCTGTTGTTGAGTGCTGTTATCATCCTAGACCCAAATTTGAGGATGCTGAAAACGACACAATGACACAATCGATTCAACTCTCTGAACAAAATTTGCTCGACTGCGAGCTGGATTCGCATAAGACGTGGGAATGGTACCACGAAGTCGCTCTCCGGGTCGAACCAGCCGTAAGCATGATCTACCTGAAAACGTTAAAGATCTCTAGGTTTGAGCTTGACAAAACGCATGAAAATCCTTGGAATGGGCTTCTTTTCGACTCTTGCGATTGGCCGGCATGTTTCCGTTCATAAACTCATGTGTTCATGTTGTTGCTCCATGTAGACTTTGCCGCTTCCCGCCCAAAAGTAGGGATGGCAGGTTTGGATACTTGTTTTTTAATGCGGTGTGGGGAGAAAAGGGTGTGGGTCTCTACACTTTGATAGCTATGTTGTTGGAATTTTGCTCCTTTGTACGATGTGTTTTTGGCTTTGGTGTACATGGGGGCGGAGGCCGTTTCGCTCAGATTCCGATCGCCTTGAAAAAAGTAAAGATAGTCGCCCAAGCGATCCGATTCAGGGGTCTGAAACTTTGGTCTGGCCGGATAATACATACATACATGTATCTTTATATACACACAAATATGATATATGAGGCAGTATTCTAAGGAAACTGAGACACAGAGACTCCCCTGTTAGCCTAAGCCAAAACGAAGCACCCATGTCCAGTCCCGAAATTAACAGGGTCTGAAGACTGAGCGATGCCGGTATATCTATATAGGGAGATTTTTGAACACAAAACACACGGAGACAGAGACAAAGATAGAGTTTGTTTATTTTTGCTCAAACCGTTGTTGCCACAATAGGGACCACGATTCGTCACTATACAGCGATTGTCCCTATAACCAATAGTCGTCGCCATGTATGGTGTCGAATAGCTCGTCCTGGTAGTAGGTAATAGGTAGTAGGAAGTAGGTAGTAGGTGGTAGTTAGTAGTAGTAGTAGTAGTAGTAGTAGTAGTAGTAGTAGTAGTAGTAGCAGTAGTAGTAGTAGTAGTAGTAGTAGTAGTAGTAGTAGTGGTAGTAGTAGTTCCAGTAGTAGTAGTGGTAGTGGTAGTGGTACTAGTAGTAGTAGTAGTAGTAGTAGTAGTAGTAGTACTAGTAGTAGTAGTAGTAGTAGTAGTAGTAGTAGTAGTAGTAGGTGGTAGTAGGTAGTAGGTAGTAGGTAGTATGTGGTAGGTTGTAGTATTAGTAGTAGTAGTAGTAGTAGTAGTAGTAGTAGTAGTAGTAGTAGTAGGTGTAGTAGTAGTAGGAGGAGTAGTAGGAATCGTAGGAGTAGTAGGAGTAGTAGGAGTAGCAGTAGGTAGTAGTAGGTAGTAGTAGGTAGTAGTAGTAGTAGTAGGTAGTAGTAGGTAGTAGTAGGTAGTAGTAGGTAGTAGTAGGTAGTAGTAGGTAGTAGTAGGTACTAGTAGGTAGTAGTCAGTAGGCAGTAGGCAGTAGGCAGTAGGTGGTAGGTGGTAGGTGGTAGGTGGTAGGTAGTAGGTAGTAGGCAGTAGGTAGTAGGTAGTAGGTAGTAGGTAGTAATAACAGGAGGCTGAAACGATTCCATCCTTGCTTCCTTTATTGCTTGCTTACTTCTTTGCTTGCTTGCTTGCTTGCGCGTTTGCTTGCTTGCTTGCTTGCTTGCTTGCTTGCCTGCTTGCACGCTTGCATGCTTGCTTGCTTGCTCGCTGGCTTGCTTGTTTGCTGGTTTGCTTGCTTGCTTGCTTGCTTGCTTGCTTGCTTGCCACGAGCAAAACGGAAAAAAAATAAAAAAAAAAAACACGGAAAAAATAAGCAAAAAATACCACCACCGCATGCAGTGGGTGCTCTGGCCCCAGCGACGCAGCGCAAACTACCTTGAACTGTTCCGTGCCCGCCACTGCGTGTCGTGTTGGCATTGAAACTGGCGGACGCTGGAATATGCTGGAGTCAGCAGATGCCACTATCATCCGGCAAGTGTGCCTGCCGCTCTGCTGCACAGTGAGCCTTCGTTGTTTCATTGAGCCCCCTCGGCCCCAGTGCACGAACTACGGGGCGAAGTCCACGCGAACCGTCGAGCAAGTCCCGGCCCGCGTGTGCAGGATTCAACTCCAAATTTCAAAGGGTCCCCATCGACGTTGGCAGTGTCAGTGTGGGAGATTGGAAGGGAAAGGATTGCGAGAGCACTTGCGGCCGCGAAGGGAAGCAAAGCGGACGAGCGGGTGACGTATGTGGCGGTGGCACTCGAACGCAGGAGGGGGTTGCTCGCGCTCCGTTGAGGGCGAGGAGCCGAATCAACCGGGCAGCCTCAGTGCTCCAGCGGCCGCCAAGCTAGATTCCAAGCACAACGAGCCGGCACTTTGCAGAACAGAGTTCTGGGTAATGTCCGCTCCTTGGCCTTGCGAGCGATGCGTGGTTCAGCATCGGCCGTAGTGGGCTGATGGCCCCGGGCTTGCCCTGTCGTTGCTCTTTTCCAATTGCATCGGTGCATGCTCAACGTTGGAGCTCAAGGCTTGGGGGGGGAGTCGGGAGGAACACCAACCGGCATGACCGGAAGAGCGTTGGCACAGCTACAGTACAGCATCCACCAATTTTGATGCCAGTCGGCACCTCAACGTTCTGCTGATACCCACACGCTTTTCTGAGCCAAGTCCGCAAGAGGCCGTCCCAAAGCAACAAGCTGCAAACGTGGGGAGGCGAATGCCACGCAATGCTTGCTCGACCTATGCTGGCAATCGACTTGGCATGGCTGGAAGCGCGAAGCGGCCAGGTCATGCCAGGCCAACAGTTCACGCAGCTTACAGAGTCGAGTGTAGGTCGGTGAGGATGCCTCTTTGCTCGAACGCCCCATATCTCCCGCACGAAATGCAAGCAACTCCACGGTATTGGCGCTGGTTCCACGCTTCTCCACTCGCATCCACTGGACGTGGCCACAGCATGCCACAGCGCATCAAGTAACGTTCCCGGTTGTCTCCGTTTGATACTGATGATTCCGAAGGGGGGACTATTCCCTGCTGTGGCTGCTAAAACTTGGCACAAGGGCTGGCAATCCTTGAGGTTTCAGTGGCCTTCGCTGGCAAACGTCGCCTTAATGTCGCTTGGCGACAGCACTTTCCAGCCGTAGCTCGGGAGACTAAAATCCACACCCTGCTTCCATCTCCTTCCACAGGTTTCCTCCGCGTTCATCGTGACAAAAACTGCAAAACCTGCAGTTCAAAGCTAACTCCAGTATAACTTCACTCTCGTAACGAATTGGCTGCAGGGGTTAACAAGGCAGCAAATCGGCCCCTCACTTTTTGCCTGCTCGCGCTTCCGAGTCTAATTATCTTGTCTGGCTGCGCGTGAAACATCTCATGTTGATCCCGCACGGGGACCATCAGGAGATTAGAAGCTAGAAGCTCCCCTATCAACAGCCACCTGGACGGGAAGACCACGCGTGACGCCGGAGCGGGTCTTCGCGCATGGTCGCCCCTGCCTCTGCTTCCTCTTCCAGGAAGTGCGTCAAGGGCAACTCGCACCTCGGCTTGCCATCTGCCTCTCGGTTGTATGAGGAAGTGGGTTGGTCTTCGTTCTTGGTAGAAACAGCAGCCGTCTGAGCTGCCAAGCCATCTCTCCTCTGAGCGCTCCATTTCCGGCGTTTTGTCGTCGGACTCATCCAGATTGATCTGATGTCCTTCTGGTAGAACCAAGTCGTCTTCAGGCAAGGCCTGGCAAACATGCCAACGCCGCTCTGCCATAAAGAAAAGCCAAGAGAATGTACTCGAGCCTGGGCTTTCCAAGCATCGTCGATCACGTGCAATAGCCCAACCTGCACCAAGGCTTTTGCACTGCTACCGAGGAAATGCCAGAACGTTGGTCCCGAAGGCCTTCCAGCGGTGCCTGTGACAGAACACACTGTCGGACATGTGCACTTGCGACCTGCAAGTCCCGGCAGATGTCGACAGAAGAATGAGAAGCAACTGCCAATCCCCATCCCGTTTGGCTTCCCGCATGGTCCGGGCAAGTTGCGTCAGGCGTCCCAGCCGGTCTGCTCGGGAGCCCAGCAGCTGCGGGCGAGTGTCCTCATGGCCCCTCGCATAAGCACTGCAGCTTGATATGGCTATGCGACGCAAGAATTTGTGTAGCCTTTTCAGATCTGCCATCTTGTCACAGGCGAGGGTTTTTCCCTCCTAAGGGTGCGCTGCGTGCTCACATCACGAAAAGAGGGGCGGGGCTCAAGCCCCTGTAAGCAAATGCGTATGAAAGCTCCAGTGCCTATATGTTCATACAATAGGATCCGGATATGTTTAGGGATACCGACCTCATGTCCCAACTTTCCCACCTGCGTCTCCTAGCGACCACCGAGTAGACGTGGAAAACCGTACACATAGCGGTTCAGACTCAAAACCGCGGTAACACAGCCGTGAGCCTCGGTGGGTTACATTCACAGAGAGGCATATGGAGGCATCATTACTGGCACCGGGAGCCGGGCGCGCCTAGTCACCGTCAGAATCGCTACCACTGGAATCGCTATCCTCCCCCTGCAAGTTTCGGATCGCGCAAACAAGCTGGAAAGAGCGGGCGTCTTCTGCATGGCCTTCTTGTCATCCTCATTATCACTGTCGGCCTGCTGCGGATTCGCATGATGCAGACTCGCAGACCACAGAACGCTTGGCATAGGACAGGCCTTCTGCTGCTTGCCATCGCTGAGCTTCTCAACTTTGCTCTTGCCTTTGCTCTTCTCATCGTCTTCCTCCTCCTCGCTCTCGTCATCACCTCCGAGCCTGCCGCAAGGGACTGGGATTGCAGCCTGTGAGACCTCCGAGGAAGCTCTGAGGCGCGGGCTCGCCCATGAACTGTTGAAACAGAGTTGGCTGCAAATCCAGATCCTCTTCGGAACGAGCTTCAGTTCAGCTCACCACGTTCGGCGTCTGCTGCGCTGCTGCGGAAGCAGCCGCACTCTCAAGCCACAGCAACAGAGTCGGGCGAATACTTTACGTGTAAGCTGGCTGCTACTAGTAGCACGAACGGAGGTCCTCATCCTCAGGATGAACAAAGATCTCGCGCTTCACCTTCGGAAGGACATGACGACTCGAAAGTGAGAGAGCTTCTGGGCCCGGGCCTCCTCCTCCGTGTGCACAACAAAGTTCAGGTCCACCTCCCCAAAAGCGACCCCTCGATGGCCCAGCGGCCCAGCGAGGCGCAGCGAGGCGCGGCCTTCTGGTCGATGCCCACGTAGGAATCGCAGAGCGCGTGGACTGTGAGGCTGTGTTTGCCCGGCCGAGAGACCTCCGACATGACGCCACAACGGCTGAAAAAAGCATGTCTGCCCGTAAGGCCTGAAAGCGCAGTTTGGTTTCGACGACCCGGTCCGTGTCCCGGATTCGCCTTGTCGGAAGCCACCAGCTCGGAAAATGCGGGCACGTGCATTTTGCCAGAGTGCTTCGTGCTGGATACTAAGAGCGAAACTCGAACCCCATGATTCTTGTGTTCGGCGCACCCTCCACCTTGGTTGGTTCAACATGTATTGGCGAGCCCCTGTGCAGGCAGGAAGCTGAAGAGTCTGGCCAGGAAGATCCACCATTCTTCGAATTTGGGCTGCAACAAAGGCTCAACATGGCGATCCAAGCTTAGCGGAACGGGAAGGCCCAGGATGCTCAGACAGCTCTGGCCTCAGGGTAGAACGGCGCATGCACCGGGCCCATGGCCTAGCCAGGCTCATGCAGCGTGTCATTCTTTGTGGAGATAGCTTAAAGCATTTACTGTGGCATCTACACGGCACAGGCCTCACCCTCCTGCAGATTTTTCCGCCTCAACAACGGAAAATGAGGAGCGAACCCCGGCAAGCGACCAAACCGCTGAGGCAAAGGGCGTCAGTTGGCAGGTAACGGTCGCAATGTCACCAACAACAATGTCTTTCTCGTCCTCGACCTGAACTGCATTGCAGCTCAAGGAGCTCAAGCAAGCAGTACGCACGATCAAGTGCAGTGTGGCCTCTGTTATGGCCTTCAGTTCCATGTTGCTGACGTGAGCAGTGAATGCCTGACGCTAAACTTCGATCAGTGAAACTGGCAAGTGCGCATACACAAACACTTTCACATCGCATGTCACGTGCCAACATTTGGACGTTCACCTCCACATCCGCAACTTGGTCAGGAGACATTGTGGTCAGCCCCTGCACGGGTTCCCACTAGCTGAATGCGTGGGGGGCGTCTCACTGTCCCGCCTTCCTCTGATCGCGGTCTTTTTGCAGGTAGTCCAGCAGCGTCGAAGTCTGAGAAAACTTTGCACGGATCCGCGCTGTCATTGTACGAGGGTGTCAAGAAGATTCTAAGCCAAGAGTTCGGTGATCTGAGTTGTGAGCGGCATTCTTGCCCTTGAGGCAGTGCCTTGCTTTGGCTTGGCGGCATGCGACACGCACATTCTGTCTGTTCAATGCTCGTAGCCGCAGGTCTGACATGCGAGAAGCTTTGCTGAGAACCAGACTTGAGGATTTCTTCGTTGAAGTGAGGAATTTGGAGGAGCTGTGAACTCTTGACGTCCAAGGCCTGCAGCTATCCGTTTCTCCCAGCATCTCCCAGCGCACAGCTTGCGCTTACGGGCATCTTGCCTGAATGAGGGAGCGTCGGAACTCGATCATGGCCTGGGCTGTGAAGAACCTGAGTTAGCAGCAGCACGGCACCAATTTCACCACGCCGGCTGCCTACGTTGAGACCGTCTGAATCTGCTGTCTGCAGGGATCCACTGCGCATATTAGAAAAGACGGAGCGGCCATTCACGCATGCAGGCGATCTCAATCATCGCCTGTGTAATCTTCTGCGAATGCCTGCCGCTGCTTCGTGACTGGGAGCCCGCTCAGGATCATTCTGCCACGTGACCGCAATCTACATACGTACGGACGTACATGCGTACATTTCCAGACAGACATGCACGCACGGACAGACGCGCAGACGCACGGACACAAAACACACCCGCATTCCACAAAAAAAGAGGCCACCAGAGACCTCCAGACTGCGCTACTTGTGTGCCACTGTGCTGTTGCTGATGTTTGCCATGCTCTTAGTGTCACATGCTGTTGAGTAGAGATACGACTCTGCGCACAGTGAATCGCAGCAGACCAGATCAAGCAGGCTTTCGCGCCCTGTTGAAAGCAGAAGCGCAGATGTGCACAATGTGGATCCACGTTAACTATGCGCTTTGACATGTTGCTGACACTCATGCTGGCGACCCTGCTGCGATTGCTTTGCAGTTCATACAAGCTGCGAGTTGTCCCATCCTTCTTACAGCATTGGCCGAAGCATCTTCCACCATGTAGTGTCTGTAGCTAAGGGTCCAGGATCGCTAAAAGTGCCAGCGATGAACTTCGTACAGCCAGGTGAGAGCTTCAAAGGCTTGCCTCAGCATCTCATCCAGATCTGCTCGGAGGTCGTCGGACATCAGGTGATGTAGCCGCTGCATGTGGCCAAGAAGCAAGAAGTTGTTCCTGGCAGAGATGTGGAATGCTGAAGATTGATCGATTGATTGACCACTTGTCTGTGCGAGCATCCTTGCTAAGCAAGGTAGGTAAGCGCTCAAAACTTACCATGCTGCAGGAAGGGGGGGGCGCACTTGATGATGATGGGAGCCGTAAACTGACGCTTCTTATGCTCGACGACCTGCGCGGAAAGCCTTGCATTGGCAGCTCTGAGTTCAGCTTGCTGAGTACTGCTCCGCACGTGCCCGTGTTGGAATCTGAGAGCATCACGTCTTCATCTCTGCATTGTCCGATGGTCTCAGAGACATGCCCCTGCGGCTACGCAAATGTGATTGCAACTCCATCAGCATGAGCCACGGTTTGCCTGGGGTTTTTACGCGTACAAACAGAACCCTTCATGCTGTCTGCGCAGACTCGACCACAAAACGTCCAATCCAAATCATTCTAGCACGTGGCCCAGCATGCTGAAGTAGTATATATAGGACCCAGGACTTAGAAGCCCATTCAAAACTCTGATGTGTGCGCCTGCTCTCTGCTGAAGCTGCAAGCAGCTCAGGGCAGTTCTTGAGCCGCGTGGCCTTGCGTGACAAGCCCGGTGACTTGCAGATGTGATGCCGTCATCAAGGAGACAGCTTGGCAGCACACCTCGTTGATATAGTACCTGCACCGGCAGAGGTTGCAAGACTGCCTCTGACTAATGCTTCCCTTAAGCCCCAGAACTGTTCTTCTGCTGAGATGCCCCATGAATTGGAGGGTCTCTATCATGACACCGTTGGCCGCGTAGTTCTTCGTCCTCTGGTGCTCAAGACGAGCCTTCGCTGATTCTGCATGCTTGGGTAGCATCCCAGCAAATCACCCACGGCATAAGGTCAGCCTAAGCCTCTCAGTAAGTGTGTATAACATGTCCCATGAATCTGACACAAAACTGCGGTCCTCTGGTAGTAGCAGATAAACGCCATAGGCACAACCTCATCAAACAACTGGCGCTACTGATGTACGAACAGAAGTCACTTGAAGCCCCCTTTCAGCTTCTGGCAAAGAGCAGCAGAAAGAAGAAGAGGCAAAGTATCATCTGGCATAAGCGTGCCGCATGTCAGGTGATGGAAGCCCACGACATGACCTGCACAATCATGTTACAACAGCAGAATATGCCGAGAAGACCAGATGATTCTCCTTCTCCAGCAAAAAGGGTGGCCTGTAGGAAAGGGCATCCAAATATGCTGTACATAAAACCCTCCGGATTAGACTTGTTGGTGATTGTGTTCGCAAAGGCTTAGGCAGCCCGATGCCAACTTTTGATGTCTGTGGACCATCCGGATTGCCGTACCTACACAAACACATGTGTCAGATGGATGATGGACATACTGCTCCACGATCGTGCGGCACTTCTCGTAGTTGGCTTTGGCTGTCTCATCTGTTAGCGCGTTGTGTGCCTCGCAAAGAGATCGTGGATTCAATTGAGATTGCAGGTCATGAAAAGTACGTCCGATGCCTTCGTGATCTGCATGAAGCGTGAAGCAGCCAACGGATCATCAGGGTTTTTGTCCGGGTGGTATTTCAAAGACAGCTGCCGGTACGCCTTGCGATTTCTGCTCTCAGCTTAGCGAGAGACAGAGCAAAGACTCCAGACGATCAAGCCTTCTTGACTTCGGTTGCTGATGCGCCGGGACTGACATCCAGAATCTCGAATGGATCAAACCTTCAGGAATCCACGAAAGCGCAAGCTGCATGGGTTTCAATCATGTATCTGCTAGGGAAGGCTTGTTGGCAGTGCAACCTGCCTCTTGATCTCTTTCGCATCACCAAGATGCAAGTGGATCAGGTATATAGTCAACCTTCGACCAGTTCGGAGGCTTCGCTGCACAAGCGGAATGCGAAAGCAACACAAGACGATGCGGCTAAGTGCCCTGCCAAATACCAGCCAACAGCGACAATTTGATGATCACGGTGAACGACGAGCCTAGCCGTGAGATCAGCGCAGTGCTACAACCCTTCCATCAACTGGTCATGACATTCTTCGACCTGCACTTGCTCTCCTTGCCTTTTGGCGGGCCTGACATCGGGTCTGCAGTCGCTGTTCTCTCGATGGTGCACTAGCAAACAACCATTTTTCGCTGGAGGGCTTGGCCTTTTCTATCTTGTCCACCATCTGCGAGCCTTGGAAAATGCAGCGAGAGGCCAGCAAGTGCCTGCATCCTTTTCTTGCCAAGGCAAGGGCTTTGACAGTAGTGATATCTACTCCCAGATTTGCTTTTGGTTGGGAAATCCTGGCACCAAATGCTCGGCAGGTGCAGTCCCTAGTTTGGTATCTCGAGCTGCCTTTTCCACTTGGGCTTGACCGGGGAAGAGGAAGTTGTAGATGACTGAGCATGTCCATGGCACGGCCACAGTCACCAGCACCTGTCATCAATCACCGTCAAAGGCATGTGCCAGGCTACTAGACATGCACATGCATATCGAAGGCAGGACAGAGGTACGCTGCTGAAGAAGTAGTAGAAGGCCGTGTCATCGTATCCGAGAAGTCCCTCTTTCTGATCATCCTAGCACAGGCGAGCTGCATCGTCCTAGAATCAACATGAGGTTCGTTTCAATTGGCTGACAGCTGTTCAGTTGGATAACATGATCGAGAGAGGACGAACTCATCGTCGTCACGGACCGTGGGCATGATCCCTAAGTCTTTGGCTCACATATGACGGGTCCTTGGTGAAGGTGTCTTTGAAAGACATTGCTCACCTTCACTAAACAGGCTTCGCAAATCTTGCTGGAACATTGACGGATACGATGAGAAGCCAACGCTGGGCCAATCGCATTGACCAGAAAGCCAGTCTAGATATCCGGATGCTAAAAGCCAGGTGTGAGTGGGTGGGCTAGGATGTGTCAGAAGTTGGTTTATTCTCCTACCTGTCAAACTTACACATCGCACTACCAGTGGCTGAACAGGCTTGTCTGTCCAACATGTTCATCATGCCGCTTGAGTTTGTGTTCAGAAACTCCAGATTGCGATCCGCGTGAGGCCACGCGCATTCATTGACAAAGCACGCTTGCACCTGGACACATTGGCCAAAGCACTGCAGCAAGGAGGACTGCATGCATTTATGCTGCCTGGAGAAGAGTCCACCTTGGGCGGCTTCCCTGTGGAGCCGGTGACACGGCACAAATTGAAGCGACCATGCAGGGTTCCGGGTTAGTTTAGTGAGTCTGCCATCTTTGCTGGGGAAAGGTTCGAGGCGGAGAAGGGAACCTGTACAGGCATGCGTGTGGCAGGTAGTTTTGCTGCCTTGCCTGAGTGTCAGAGTGCACGATTTGCCTACTCCTCTTCTCTCAGCTTCATCTTCATCGCATGCAAGTGGGCCTAGCAGATTGGAGCCCGGAGAGAGATGCTTCGAGAAAAGTAAGTGGGCTTCGGTCCTCGCACCTTGGTCTTCTCTTGCCGCTCCCCGGATTCCGAGATGCTCTTCTCGAAATGAGCCATGAAACGCATCATGTCTTGCACCTTATTAGGATCAAGAGGTCGGGAACATCGGACTCGAAGCTCACAAGAATTTGACCTGCGTTCTTCGTTCTTGGCTGCCTGCCATGCTCTCTTGGCTCGTGGACCTCATCTGGAGCTCCATAGACATCCTCGGTGCACGAACTCGCAACATCCTGCAGCCTTCGAGCTCGGAACAGTTTTCGTTTCCCGCCTCGCTCTCACATCTTCCAGATGTCTGAGAACTTCGGGCTCCTGCATCGCAGCGTTGGGCTCACCACCAGGACGGCCTTCCCTGCTTGCAGGGCTCACCTTCTGCTTGATCCTGCTGTCGAGCCTGGCAGACTCCACACTTCCGGACCTCGACCCTACTTTCTGCAGAGCACCGTAAGGCCCCGTATGACACCAAGCATGTCAGGCCCACGAGCTGAACCGATCTTCGGCACGCTGCCGCATTTCGTGACCCTTGTGGCGCCGGGCCTTCATCGGAATCCCCATTCTACCGGAGATGTTCCAAACAGCAGCGGATGAGAGGCGCCAACCTCGCGCTCCTCTGCCAGTCTTCGCCTGCATCTCGGAAGGTGTATAAGCTTGCGAAAAGAGCGTAGCGGAGCGGAAGCGAAGGGCCTCAAAGAGTGGAAGCGGCCCTGCATGTCACCCATGAAGCGATCGTGCTCTTCGGATCGCTCGGCCACCTCCGAAACAGCGCCCCGTGGTTTTTCTTGGCGTCTTGGGGGTACGCTTCTCGGGCCGCTGTGAGTTGCATCCATTTTATGGAAAGCCCGGTTGGACGGGGTGGCTTGCAAACACGGATGCAGATTTCCACAGAAAGAAAGTAAGCAGCGCTGCTGCACGGGTGCAGCTATGTAGCAGGCAGTTTCTACGTGCACATAAACACTTCTCTCAGCTGGACGTCAGTTGCTCATGGTCATGTCATCTGGGAAAGCTGCGCGGCCTGCTCAGCCAAGAACTCCTTATGCCTCAGAAAACAAACAAAGCTGAACTCAGCATCATCTCAGACTGAAGACGCAGTGTGATTTCCACCTCTAGCCACGAGCACAGGTGAACTGGAATGCTTCTGGGTGTTGGTCATCCGGTAGCACTATATCATTTCCTCTTGGCTCGTGGCTGGCTTGATTCTGCAAAGCATGCCAAAGCTCCCCAACATAGGTTGTGGCATTCGGAGGGTCAAGCACTTTCATTGGCCTGAAGAGGATTTATCAGACGGCCGGGAAAAGGCTCCGGAACACTATAGCCGAAAGCACGCACACACACACGGACGCGCAGACAGACAGAACGCCATAGCATAGTGTGAGCATCCGAGCATCGACCGAACGCCAAGACCAGATTCCGATTTGTGAAGTGAGTGCACGTCGCAGGTTTGAGGGATTTGAGCTGTGGTTGCCTGCAAGTCCCCTCAGCCTTCAGCGCTCACAAGAGGCCGAGCTCTGTACTTGCTCAATGCGGCCAGCAAAGGCTCCGTCTCAGCGGCTGCGTGAGCAAGGCAATCCTCTTCGCGCCAACTTAAGAGCTGATGAAAGCCAAAGCAATTCTTGAGCGGACCTCCGTGTTCCGTCCCAGGAAGGCAACAGTCAACTGAGAAGACTACTTCAACACCCTCGGTGCAGTCCTCGTGCTCCTGCACAATGGCCGCATCCAAGGTCGTGATGGTTTCACCTTGATTGTGGTCTTCAGTGCATTATTTTCGTTGTTGCCTCATTGCACAGATGGAGGTTGCGAAACTGAGAGCTCCACCCATTTTGGTAGATCGCGTAGTGAGCTCGCTTTTGTCATCAGCCTCAGCAGAGTGGCAAGCTTCGACTGTCGTGTGAAATCTCTGTTCATCCACTCAAGATGCCGGACTAGGCAGCACGCGAAATTCTGCTTCCACGTTCGTTTGCGTTCAGCAACGGTGTCCACGAACTCCTTGCAAAAGTCCTGAATATGGGGACGGAGCGGGTTCAAAAGATCGGCACAAAGCCAGCCTTGCCTTGAGCTGGTCGAGATTCAACTTGGCTTCTCTGTCCGACTTCGCCCGCATCGCGACCAAGCGGTCCAAGATCTGTGAGGTTCAGCATAGACTACAGTTACGCATGCATCATCGGAACGCCTGCACAATGTCTGCACATACTGCTCACTCGTGTAGGCGTGCTAGGTGATCATTCCCACCTCTTTGTTCCGCTGGTCATACAGCTTTGCTAGCACGCCGCGGCCCTGACGAACAGAAGAAGTGTCTAAAACACTTGGAGCAGACCGGGTGCGCATGTGCCTCTCGTGCTTCTGCAAAGGAAGCTGCGATGTCATCATGCCTGGGAATTGGCTAAGATGCTCCAAGCATGTGAAGGCTAAAGGGCGCAGGTTGCAAGATCAATGGGCTCGTGCTCTCTGCAGTAGATCTCCAGCTTCTCATCCTGGAACGGCCTGGTGGAGTGCAGCGCGAGCATGGCAAGTGTGCTCCATTGCGAATCCTGTGGGCGGGGCGAGAGCTCAGCTTCCGCAGCGGTTATTTGAATAACCTCGTTCTTGGTAAGCCTGCAGAACTTCGGTTTCCGTGGAGTCAAGGGCAAAGGAACGCTGGGTATGCGGCGCTGGGATCCCTTTGCTTTCTTTGCCCTCCTTTTGTCGCGGCTTCCGACCGGGAACCTTCAGGGATGGCAAAGGCATCGGGATCGGCTACTGGTAATTTGTCAGCATGGCTATTGCAGAGTATCAGCCAGGTCGCCATGGTCGCCATGTCTGCTCAAGGCACGGATGGACCGAAATTGACCAAGCGTTGTCCCCTCCCGGGTTGCTCAAAATGGTTGGCCACTCCTGCTCGCGAATCTCTGCACCCTTTGCACTCGAAAACAGTTGCCTACCATTCATGTGCCTTTGCTTGAGCACCGTGCTGGATTTACGGCGTCAAAGGTCCGACAGCTCACAAGACTTGCTCGACGCGCACGGCTTCATCGGCGAACAGCAGCCTGGCTGGGATACATGGAAGCCTTCCAGCCCTTTCGCGCAGTCGCATGAGTCCACGGCTGTGCCCGCACTGTCTGACAGCCAGTCTGTTGCTAGAAAGTAAGTCAGTAAGCCTGATCTTGCCTGCAGTGCAGCACAGCCGCATGTGATTTTGGTCTTACACTTTCGCAGTGGGCATTCTGCCGTGCTCTTGGAGCACAGCAGCAGAGCCAGGCGAAATGCCGAAGAGGGACTTATAGCGGATAGCGGATCTGGCAGATAGCAGCTTCTGACACTACATAGATCAGAAAGCTGACGAAGAGGTCCAGCTTGATTATGTACAACAGATGTCGGGAGATGGGATCCACGCTTCTGTGGACCACATTTACTCTTCCACTTCCATGGAACCGCCGGCTGCCTTCTCGACCTGTCGGGTCTCATCTTGAGTCTTGTCTTTATCCAAAAGATGCGGCCCGCCTTGACCTTCTGTCTCGCCTTTGCTTTTGTAGATCCTGCGAACTCCTGCGGCCACAAGGATGCCGCCATCCCGGTAAGACATGCATCCCCGACAGCGGAGCGGGCTTTTAGCCTCGAGAACGCTTGTGTTGGTTCAGTCCTTCTGGTAACGCAGGGCCTTTTCTTTGTTCGGCCCTTCCAAGAGGTGAGAACTCTTCGCCTATGTGGGGGTCAGGGAGAGCTTGCGGCCAACGAAAAACCCAAAGTGCTCTGCGAAATCCTGAGCTTCCAACAATTTCCTTCTGTGCACTTGTCTGCCGTTTCCTGAACAGGTCACGATGAAATCTGACTCAAGCCTCAAGCAATTGAAGCGCGTCTCCGTTTCGTACTGATTGCAACCAGTGTGAGAACGTCACGTTGCTGTGACACGCATTACCGTGCCACACACGTCTGCTTCTCGCCTGAGTTGTGCGGCCAATCGAGCCTTGTGGAAGCGCCTTGGTGTGCCAGAAGCAGGAACGTAACCGGCGAGGACTCGCGTCTTTCTCCACCCCGAAATGATGGCATGAGGCAGCAGTGATAATCAGTCCGCTGTACGCAAAATGATCTCTGTTGGTCTCCGGCTCCTTCCGCACAGACCTGATCCTTTCTACGATCTGCATGGCTCGCACCTTGGGCCGGCAGTCAGCCCCATTTTCTGGCATATATTGCTGCAGTCACCGCAGGCACTATATCTCAGCATGATGCCGTCTTGACCATCAAGTTCCGGTTATACCTCCGTCAATACCAACACAAACACTAGACGAGGATTCCTGATTCATCCATTTGCCACTAGCGACCGGACCGGGGCCCTGGCCTGGTGGGGGTGAGTCGCTTCTTCTCGAAGTTGAAAGTGGAGTCAACGACCATCTCCTGCGGTGGACACTGGACATGCCCTGCTAAGACGAAGAACCTCCTGCAGTGGAGTCTTCACGCGTCCTTCCCACGCGCACGCCGGTATGCCTGAGCACACGAAACAAGGTGTCTGAGCTCCAGAAACCAGGCTGTCAAATTACGTGCGGCTTCAGAGCATGGCCTTTGTCCACTTCAACTTTCGAGGATTGTGCTTCATCTTGAAGTGCTTGTGACACTTTGAGCCTGGTGCCAAGGAAGCATGCTCTGATGCTGAACATCACACCACCAAAGACCAAACGACGTCACGAGCTCAGATGAAGCGAGGCAAGGGCAAACGAGCATGCCGTGCCGAAAACCCCAGCATTTGCAACGCAACCCACAGCGCACAAAAGTCGTTTCTTTTCAATATTAACATGTGCACGAATCCCAATATGAACTGTTTGGGGAAAAGTCTACTAGCCGACAAAGTAGGCTTAGAATGTAGGCCAGGAGGCGGCAGAAGCGAAAGGTCTTGCAGTCATTTCGCACAAACCTCATGTCAATTTCGATAGCCCAGCAGCCACTCCCACGACTCCCCACTAAACAAGCCGGGAAGCTGAATGCCGTGACCAGGGTAGATGCTGCTGGAGCAGAACCAGCACCTTGACCAAGAAAACTGCTGGGGCAGGACAACTTGCGACACTTGTGGGAACAATCAAGCACACGCACAGTGCTAGTGACAATGGTTCAACACCAGTGGAGCTGAGCGCAACACGTCGGCTCGAGGAGACCTATATTGTACCCGATCTGGGGTGCCAACTTTTCGATCCGCATGCTTGCTTCGTGCCCGCTTGACGCCTTCCCATGGAGTGCTCTATGTCGCGCCGAAACTGCAGTCTTCTCGAAACGAGGGCTGCAGTTTGTATCACCGACATCTAGCCCAGCCTGCTGCAGACGCCCGGGATTCGGCTCAAGCGGCCCTCTGAGATATACTTGCAGCGAGAGTGCACGTGCTTCCACCTCGTTTCCAAAGCAGAGCCTCGCTGGTTATCGTCCCTGGATTTGGGAAACCAGACAAAGCCGTAAACATCCAATTCAGATGATGTGGAGTGTCTCGACAGTGTTCAATAGCTTGGCTTACGAAGTAGTACTGCGCCCTTGCTTCGAGCATGTTGTTTTGCAGCTTTCAGCAGAACAAAATAGAACAGGGGGCCTGCCGACGCAGAACTGTCTCCTGTGTAGCTGCAGTGGATTTTCCATAGAATCGACTTCCTCATCAGGACAGTGGTTCAAGAAGCACCGCGTCACGCTTTGTCCAAGCAAATAGTCATCTAGACACAAAGGGAACCCACGACCAGGTAACAGTACCGAAGAGACACGCCTTTGTATGGGGGAGCCAGCCTAGTTGCTCGCAAGACCTCTCTAACATCAGCACAGTCACGTCCCGGCATGTTACAAGGCTTACTCACTTATAACCAAGAGAGCTCCACTTTACCGCTTTTTGTACCGTTCCTACACTTGCCCGGGAACTACTCACTGCTTGCATCGCCAAGTTCTTGTGCCGTCCTCAGAGCCGTGATATCGTGCAGAATGCTCGCCGTCTCGCCGTTTCCATCGTGGTTTTAACCTGCTTGCACCGTTCCTCCCGCCATCTCCACAACACAACACTGCTGGTGTGACCTCACCGTCTTGGCAGCGCCACATTCCAACGCCATACCTATTCTACTTTGCTCGGGCTGTGGCTCTTCGAAACCAAGCCCTCGAAGAAGTCTTATGATTGCCCGGGCAGGAAAGTGAAAATGTGATACGATATAAATTGGTGAAACTGTTAAATTGAATCATGCAAGAATAGGCTGCTGACTGTGCGGCAACTGCATTGCCACGCCTCGTCTGCGCTCTGGTATGTACAAGTCGCTTTAGATCGCAAGGTTTCAGCGATGGTCCGGGTTCGCCGGTCGATCCTGCAACGTTACGCTTAGTCTAACAGAAAGGATACGTCGGATACGTCACGTCTCAGAGCGGCGGCGGAGTTGCGGGGCCTCGTGCAGCTGGACGAAAGAGGGGAATGTTCTCTGTCGCAAGCGGTCCAGCTCCTTCCACTCGAGTCTGAGCCACGAAGCGTACCAAAAAGAACCATGGATAGGCAGTGTTGCTTAACTGTTTGGTGAAACCCTCTGCACACAGGGAAGGGCTTCTGGGAGTAAAAAAGGAGTTGGGATGGTGATGAGGGTCCTTGTGCAGGATCTCGATTTCCTCCGTGTTCTTCTTGGCCTCAGCAGCCACATCTGCGCTTGGAAAAGGCTTCAAGACGCAAAGCAGGCAGTAACTGAGATGATGGCCACCTCCATCAGCTTCTGACGGCTTCTCAACTGGGCACGCGGCGCTTGAAATCAATGGAAAAGACTGGTCCAAGTAAGTATCTCTGCATGTGTTGCCACGCTGAAGCTCAGGGCCTCTTTGAAGGCAGCGTGGGCCGCCTTAGCCGCACCCTCATCTTCCTGACAAGCGGAGCCGAGATTCCAATGCGAAACGCTCTCCGAATGTTTACGAACTGGAGACCCTGTCGTGTTCATGACGGCAACGAAACTGGAAGCCCGCGACAAAACTTGAAGCGACTGACGAGCAGGGATGCGCAGCAAGAACCGACTCGAAGATAATCATGGCAGCTCCTATGGTCCTATGGGTTGCATGTGCACAGGGTTTTACTTTGGAAGCGGAGACTGCTCAGCCGTGTTGCGCCGCAAAAGACCTTCTCAAGGGCATGGCTGCGATTGCTGATTGTGTGCCCCTGATAATTTTCTCGAAGTATGCTAACATGGTTAACCGTTATCTTCAGATTCAATAAAAGCAAACCGTGATTGACTTGTCCAGCACCCGTCCAGCGAAAGCACAATGACAAGCCCAGGGACAGCCAGCAAGGGAGGCGAGGGCGGGAGATGGAGAGGGGAGGCCGTGGATAGGAGCTGCCCATCAAGCTTTCTTATCAGATCACGGCGAGCTTGACAATAGCTATGAAGGGCTACATGGGCAACTATCGGTGAAAAGAGGCGGTCCTCAACGCGACCGCCACCTCCTGTCTTTTGTGGTTGGCCGGAGGGCGCACGCAGGCGTCGAATGTGCTCCCGCTGAATCACATTCTGCTGGAGTTCTCGAAGCTTCCTGGCTGCAATCGCGCCACATGTTAAGCAGCCCAGCCTAGTGGAATTGGCGACACAGCATGAACTCTGGAAAGTGCGGCTTCTCGAGCATTCCGTTCTCGTTCTTTCCTAAGCAACGCAGGGCAGGAGTCAAAGATCAAGGCGTCGGCGCTGCGGCCCTTGCATCATGTCCCACACTCTCCCTTGTGTCAAGCCACTGAGCTTTGCTGCATGGGCAAGCATCGAATACTGCTTCTTCAATGCCTTGCCATGCTATCAAAGTCGTCCTAAATAAGGCATCACAGCGAAGCACATGATGTCAAAGCCTGCTCTTTCTTCTCGGTCGCTTCGCTCAGATGCTCGATCTTGCCTCACCATGGGGCCATGGGGCCATGGCCGGAACGTCGCTGGTGGCGTTTGTGCACTGAAACTGGGCAACCCGCGTTCCAGCAGATCCGACTCCGCTTTGTTTCTGCCTGGAAGCTGCAAGCAACGCACCTGGAATGCCTCAAAGTATGCCAGGCCTTCCTCACCGCCCTTCAGCAGCGACTGCAGGTCCTGGAACCGACTCAGGACATCTCGAGCACACACACAGCCCATCACAAGCGCCTTTGTCACTCGAAGCATGTGTACATCTTTGGTACGCTCCTGTTGAGGCAACGGTGACCACACAGCACAAGTCTTTGGACAGGTCTTGCCTCGAGATCTGTCGTCTGAAGTGCCAGCATCTCATGCTCCCAGTCCAGTGTGCTCAAAGACTTTCTGAACTCCTCGCACCACGCAGGCAAGAGCACGGTTAGAAGACCTGTTTGCATCTTCTTAGGTCTTAGGCTCCTTGATCTTTGTGAGGATGTGCACCTTGTCCTTGCCCAGTTCTGTGATGCGCCGATTGCGTGACTCCACGACCTGTCCAAGACTTTCTCAGCGTGGTGATCGACATTTCGCATCGCTGTATCGCTCCTCCTGATCGATAACAATGGCATCTGAGTAGTCCGTGACCACTGCTGCTTGTGGGACTTCGACCTGGAGCAGGCTGCTCAACCAACCTGTCGGACTCGCATCAAACTTCCGAATCTGCCTGACCCTGCTTCAGCTTGAAGAGGATTTCGATGTCGTAGAGCTCTCGGCCCATCAGCGCCTGACAGGAAGAGCTCAAGGACTCAACGCAATTTTGCGCGGCCGACTGGAAAATCGTGAATCAGAACTTCAGTTGACGGTGTCCTTGTGCTCGCGGAGCTCCCTCTCGAGCCGGTCATTCTCGGCTTTGGCCTCCATGCACCTGGAAAAGAGATGAACAGAGCAACAGAGAGGTACAGTGTAGAATCCACCGCCACCCGCAGGCTCGGAAGCTCTGAGCAGACGGCTCGCGCTCCAAATGCCCGAGGAAGCCGCCCATCTCACTGAGAACAGCAGCCTGGGAGGCGGGCTTTCGGCGGAGGCAACTCATCTGAAGGCATGCAAAAAAGCGCTGCGGCTCCGACACCGCGGGCAACTTCAGCCTCTGCTCGAAGCTTCTCTGCCCGAAGCTCAAGCATTCGGTTGAAGCTATCCTGTGGGCATTTTCTGATCCACAGCAGCTCGCATCATGCAGCCGAGGCCGTCCTCGTCAACTCCTTCTGGGCAGTCCTTCCCGACAGGCTCGACAGGCTTAAGGACCACCCCAGCCCAGTGTTGCTACTGCCCTTCCCAGCAGCACAAGGCCTCGAACTTGATGTCATCCTCTACTTGGAGTTGCTTCTCCTTCGGCCTCGGAGAGCTCAGGAGAGCCGTGGTTTGCTCATGGAGTACTGGGGCTTTGCGTTCAGGTCTCGGGCTCGACTCCCAGATCCGGGTAGGGATCGGCGGCCACTTCCTTGCTTTCTTGCGCTGGAAAGAATTCAAAACGCCGGACAGGCATCTGGCCTCCAGGAGGCTGAAGCCGGGCACGCCCTTGTTGGGGATTCCCACCGTCGAGGCCTCAGGGGGAAGAGGGAGAGACGCACGCGAAAGTGACAGACATGTCGTCGAAGGCAACGGCACAGAGCACCCTTGCTGTTTACAGATCTCTTCCGGTACAGAGCCGTCGGCGCTTCTTCGCATCCGCCCGCCCTCTTCTTTTTCTGAAGCAAATGACTTCGCCTGAGGCTTGAGAAAGATTCGGGCTACGCTACGACCGCTGCATACCGCTGCGATGCTGTCGTAGCAATTGGGCAGTGAGTCATGCACTCGATTCAGCGGCTCCTTCTTCCTGCGGAACAGCCTGGCAAAGAAGGGAGGGGGGGTGCGCAGCCGGTGCTACAGGAGTCGTGGAATCATTTTCAGCATTGAGGCAGAGGCTGGAGAAGGGCGGTAATGGCCTGGGCTGGAGGTGCGTGTGCTATGAGCTGACTTAGCTTGGGCCTTTTGGGATCGCACATTTGCCTCGAGGGTCGAGTTTGCAAAAGCCTGCCTGAAATATTGGGCCGAGGAGACCTGACAGCAACGTTCTTCCGAGGCAAAAATGTCACAAGCTTGTCATGGTGCGTGCCTCTTTCTCAGATCGCACCCGATCGTCCTTGCGTAGATTCCCAAGCTGAGCAACGTTCGTGGGCCAGCTCCCCGCCGCGCCTGCTCTCCTCTTGCCTTCTGGACTTCTGCGGAGAACGCCTAAGAGCACACGTCTTACGTTGCGCATGGAAAACCTGGTCAAAAACTGCGTGATAGCTACTGCAATTCCGACCCCTCAATTAATTACGTCACTGCAACTCCAGCAAAGGTTCAGACGTTGAATCGCGCATCACATGCCTGCACGGTCTGTTGTGCAGCTGCCTTGGCCGCATGGAACGCAAATTTCGGTGCAGTTTCGGCAACGCGAGCTTTCGGTGCGAAAGTCTGCTAAATCCGAGCATACTGGAGTATACTGGCGTGTATATACTCTTCTGTCTTCAACACTTCTTTCAAGCAAGAAGAGCCCATGCACATTTCCGTCCCTGCCTTCCTGCTACGACCGAGGCCTTTGCCAAGTCGAACTGGGCTTGCTCGCGGACGAGGTTGTCCTCCACGTTTTGCAACAGGGCCAGCTGCAAACGCGCGCAGTACCTCAGCTGACAAAATGTCGACAGTCGTCGCGATCGCTTGCGGCAGCATGCCCTGCTAGGTTCAGTTCCACAGCAAGTTGATGGTTCCTTTTCAACGAGGCGGCGAAATCATCTTGCATATATCTTGCAGGATACTGACAAATACTAGCTTCAGACATCCTCCAGCTTGAGTATTTGCCCTACATGCGCAAGGATGTAATGTCCACCCCTAAAGCCTATATCTCAGGGTGATGGAGCATTTTGACCTGCTTGCCGTGACACGTGCCTTGCTTCGAACGGAATGCTGCACCGGTCGATGGCCCAACACCAGACCACAAATGTGAGCATGTTTGCCCCCAAGCCGGACCTACAACCTCAATTCAGCTGTGCGCATATGATAGTCAATGACACTGTTCGGCCGGCACCGGCAGTGTACAGAGTAGAACGCTGACTGACCACAAACCGGGGCCGGAACAGCTCCTGGCAAAGAAACTTGGCATCGTGGGAGAAACCTGACTTCCAAGCCACATTTGCCAATAGCCGTCCACGACAAACGGTCCAGACTCTTCTGAGATCATCATCGACAATCCAATACACGACAACCAAATTCTCAGCCCTGCGCGCTCGTGGTGAAGCTTTTTCAGGAGGCTTTCAAACTGGAGGGTCCTTGGCACCACGGATGGCAAGCATGTTCCTTCGGCTACTGTCATTGCAGTTCAAGGCAGCTTTACGATGTCGATCTGCAACTCACAGCAGCTATTGTCTTCCATCCACAACTGGGATGCCCACAGTTCTTGAACACCAGCGCGGAGTGTCTTCCTGGCAATGTGCAGCCGTTGAATTGCGGAGCTTGCCACAATCGAACTGCTTGAAAGATGCCGAATGCATGACAGAGAGGCAACTCTGCAGAGAGCTGCTTCCGGTAGGCATCCTGCGCCTCAGCAAGGGCCTGACATCTTTTTTCATGTTTTTCACGAGTACGGCATGCAGTGCGGAGAGCTCGAAGGATACGCTCTTTTTTTTTCACGTGCAGGAAATCCTGGTGCATGAATTCTCTGGGGGGAAAACCGTCTCCCTTCAGGCGCGTGGGATAAAACCCCCTGTTCTTTCGCATGCAAAGAAGCTTCGAACTGCACACGGGCATGCTGTAGGTGACAACGGTTCTAAGGCCTGAAAGTTTAGTACCCTACGTTTTTTTAATGTTGGTTTGTACTTGTTTTGGGATTCTAGTGTATATTTGAGAAAGATTTCCCGATGACTCACAAGCTAAACCCTTCCAAGTGTGTGTTGTTGTCTTGAAGCCGAAGGTTTAGTACCCTACTTTTTTATGTTGGTTTGTACTTGCTGTGATTATGCTTGGTTGTCTCCCGTCATGCCTACACCATGCCATGCAATTAGGTGTGCTCCAAGATACGGGTTGCAGAAAGGGACCGTGCCCACGCATAGGTCGTGGTCAGCGTGGGTCTGCAGCAGCGGGCCGACGCAGTGTCGTCTGGCGACTCTTGGGCGCAGCCTCTGTCGGTGCCGGCAGTTTCTTGCGCACCTGCTGCAGCAACTCGGCCGGGATCGCATCGAAGCGGACAAAGAGCATTGGCCACACGGCGGAGCCTTCGTAGTTGGCTCTCATGTTCCTGCTCGTAGGCCATAGGGGCTTGCCGCGACTGACGCGAAACCAGGCTGGGTTCTGCTGGCGATCGCCTGCTGCCAGGCAGAGTTGGTGGCAACGGCGGAGCCAGTCGTCATTGTCATTGCATCTGTCGAAGGCGTACTGTTCCCACACAGTGTCTGGCTGTGAGGGCTGCGGAGGCACAGGGTCTGCCAAATCCACAGGTGCCCAACCACTGTAGAACTCCTTGGCTCGTGGAAGAAACCAAGAAACCAAACTTTGCTTCTGCTGCAGCAAAGTTTCATAGTTCCAGTCTGCCACATGCTTCATGACTTCGATGAGCTTGCTTCTTGCGGAAGGCTGATAAACCTCCAACAATTGGCTTTTCCAGCCAACACCATCCCTTGATCGCTTCCATAAGCTTGTGTCGCAAAGCAAGAGCTCTCGATTGTAGCGAAACATAGGTCCATGGCAGGCTTGCTCCGCCAGCCAGCCAGTCGTGTCGTTTCGCGACAGCAGGATTGCCTGCAACCGCCACTGATGCTTTCCTGCAGTGAAAAACGAAACCGCATTGGAGTACATCGGCAAGATGGTGGACAGCGGCAGTGATCGATCTTCGAGGCGAAGATTCCAGCACGATTTGCCCATCTTGCACGAGAGAGGAGTACGGCCATCGAACAACTGGAACAAGTGGACCCCTCCAAGTCGGTCCGGACCGGCTAGTCCTGGCAGCTGTAGCATCTCCTTGCTGAGGTGCTTGGCCCTGGATAGCCCACCAACTGCGTAGCTGATTGGTAAAGGTCGCGCCAGCTAGTGGGGCCATCCATCATCAGGCTGCTGAATGGCTTGATGCGCTCTGGGAAGACGCGCATCAGTAGGAGCTCATGGTCACATATGGCCACTGCTGCCCCGGAGCTGCGGAGGGCACTGGTCGTGTAGGTCCTTAGCTGTGGCAGCAGGCTTAGATAGAAAGTGAAGGTGGGCAGCAGAAAGCGGGCAGCAGCACTGGGCAGAAACGGACAGCAGCAATGGGTAGGAGTTGGCAGAAAGTGAACAGCAAGCAACGAGTGGACAGCAATTTGAGCAGAAAGTCTGCAGCAGAAAGTGTGCGGCAGACAGCAGAAGGTGGGCAGGAGCAATGGGCAGCAGAAGTGGGCAGCAGGAAGTGGGCAGAAGGGTGGGCAGAACATAAGCAGAAGCAGGTAGAGGTGAGCAGGGACATTGGACAGAATTGAGCAGATTCGAGCAGGAAGTGGGCAGAAAGTGGGCAGGAAGTGGACAGAAGGTGGACAGCAGCAATGGGCAGCAGAAGTGGGTAGCAAGAAAGTGGGCAGCAAAGCTTGTCCAGCTGCTGCCGCACGTGATCTGACAAGTAAAGGGGCCTAGATTGTCCAACCAGTACAAGGTTTCCAGGATGACAGTGCCTACCTGCTCCGGTGCCGCTTCCAGAAAAAGTGGTGAGCAAGGCAGCTTCCCGTCCTCCAACCTCACCGCCGCCACACGTGCTCGCGGTGGGAGCTGGCCTGCTGCCGGTGCAGCGGACGACGAAGCTGCTGCGGCCGCCTCTCGCTGTTGGGTGCAGCGGACGACGAAGCTGCTGCGGCCGCCTCTCGCTGTTGAGCCAAGGCCTTGCACAGCTCAAACATGCGGTTTCCAGGATGACACTGTCTACCTGCCCCGGTGCCGCTTCCAGAAAAAGTGGTGAGTAAGGCAGCTTCCCGTCCTCCAACTTCACCGCCGCCACACGTGCTCGCGGTGGGAGCTGGCCTGCTGCCGGTGCAGCGGACGACGAAGCTGCTGAAGCCGCCCACAGCTCAAACATGCGATCGTTCTGCTCCTTCTGCTGAGCCAGGCTGCTCTTGTGGTACTCGGCCATCTCCTTATTCGATGTTCCTTCATCTGCTGCAGCATCTGGCCCATCGGGTTCATCATAGCCATCTGCATGCCCGCCCCATGACCGGCCCCTCCAAAGCCTCCGTGCTGGCGTTCCTCTTCTTTCACGATCTGCACAGAAGGGACAGCACTCGCCATGCTGGCCTCGCGTGGAAAGGTCCTCTCCAGGTGGCATGTTCTCCTCTGCTCCGCGGCCTCGCGCGAGGCTCCTCTCGAGGTGGCATGTCCTCCTCCTGCTCCGCATCTGCCTCTGCTTTCACAATGGCGGCTAGTCGGCCGGCCCTGCCTGGCCAGCTCTTGCGAGGTGGCCGGTTCCGTATCTGTCCACAGATCGGTCCGCCCGTCACTTTCCATCTCAGCTCTCACATCTTCATCATTCTCGGCCACTTCCTCCTCCCCGCTCTCTCCAGCCAGGTCTGCTTCCGGAGCTGCTCCTATCTTCTCCAAGTCGGGGCTGGAGACGTGTTCCTCACATCCTGTGTGGTCGAAGACTGCGGCGCCTCGGAGCGCTGGGAACTCTCTGCCCCGCCGCCTCCCGAAAGCAGTTGCACAGACAGTCCCAGCTGTCGAAGCCTCCGTCTCTTGGACGCCTGGGTGGCCTCGCCGGCATTCCTTACAAGGCTTCGGCAAGGAGCCGATCTTCCATGTTCGCGCCGACCAAGCCTAAGGCTTCTCAGCGCTGAGAAACTACGACCTCGAGAGGAAGAATACATCGGCGAGGAAGGGACATGTGCTCTTCAGAGCTCTTGCCTGACTGTTATGAGGCTCAAACTCAGCAAAGAAGAGCGAGAAAAGATAAGCTAGACATGTTTTTCATGTGAAAAAACATGTTTTTTCATGAAAAAACAAGGGCCTGACACAGAGAAGCAAGCTGCTACGAGTTCGGAGGTCCTGTAAGGGCTGCTACAAGAGATACCATAAAGGTTCAGGGGGGTTCCTTGCGTTCGTGATGTGGCCATATCGGACAGGAACGCCACTAATTGCATCGCAATCCTGAAAGTGGCACACATTCTGGGAAATGCGCCAATACACCATCATCGTCCATCATCGGGGCTTGTGTATAGATTGGAGAGCGTCCTATTATTCCGCTGGGCCAAACGAAACCCTAAACCGCAAGCCTTAGACCGGGTAAGCTGCAAGCCCCAAGCCCTAACCCTTAGAAGGCGCAAGCCACAACCCCCACTCCTTCAAATTCCCTCAAATATTCCTTAAACCTAGGTACATCTAGGTCCTTTGCCAATCAGAGAAGTCGAAGCACAGATTATCCACCGGCCGACACTAAAGACATCTGTGCACAGAAACGACCGACCGCGCCGTAAGTTTGCGCACAAAGGCTCCGGAACGGGATTTGCTGCGGTGGTCGTATTATATACTAATATACGTATGTACAGACATGAGAAGCCGACCAGGCAGACACACAGACAAACAGGAGTGCGGTAAGGAAGGCCTTCTCTTTTGCCTGGTACTCAGCAAAAGCCAGCTTTTGGGGTTCCGACCTTACATCCAGAGGCATCAGTGACAAGCAACCCGAAAAAGATGCAGCTGAGACAAGGACATGTCTTCCTCCGGGATCTCATCCATCCATGGTTCCTTGTCTAGGACGATTTCCAGCGGGGTGAGGTCCTGCACGCATATGGTACTGGTCGCTGGATGAGCTTTCTTGTGCACACTACACTGCAGCATTTGTGTTCGTTGAGGCCTTCTTTGTCTTCAGCGTCCCACCCATCATCTGCACCTGCACCGCAAAGCTCTGCAAAGTGGCGAAACCGCCGGCAAGCCACGGACGAGATGTCACCAACGATTCCGGAGGGCTGACCAGTGCACGCTGGCCAGCATCGTTCTCTCGGAGCTGTCGCAAGCGCTCCTTCATTGGGCATGAGAGACTTTCAAATCTTTTTTCCGCCTTGAGCAAGCTTGGCAGCTATTCGGCTGTGCCGTTCGCAGAACTGGTGGGGTAGAATTCGGAAATAAAGGTTCGTAAGTGTATACGGATACTCATCCTAGCCGGTATCATTCACTCAAATTCTGCAGGAGCTCCTCCTCTTTGGCCGCTGCTTCTTCCCTTGCTTTTTTCCTGGGTCGCGGCGGCAGTTTCGGGGTTCCAGCCAGAAGCACCGCTGGGATAGTGGCTCTTCGGGCGAGATCCACTTTTCAACTGTAATCTCGCGATCCTTGTTCGGAGGGAGATACACATGCTGCTCTCAAGGCATGACTCATGACTGCGCAACTCCGATGTGAGCAGGGCGTCCTGAACCTTGAGGACGGAATCCGAATCCTCGACTTCTTGCAGAGTCGGCTCTGGAACCTCCTCCTCAATCTGCAGCTCCTTGGATAGCTTTCACGTCGGCCGGTAGCAATGTAAACGATTTACAATGCCGGCTTCCGGATAGGCCAGGCTTCGCCAAGAATTTGCCGGATGCGGCTGCACTTCTCCTTGATCCCATCCTGAATTCGGAGATCCATCTCTCTATGAACACGCAGGCCGCTGTTCCTCAGCACTCGGCGATGATGTTCTTCTTGTCACCCTGGCAGGCCTTCCACGATTCTGTGCGGTATGACGTTCTGTTGTTACACGATGCAGAGTTCACCCCCTTGCAGTGTCAACTAGAACCGCAGTGCGACCTTGAAGAGTTCGTTGAAGTGCAAGCGGTAGTCTGCTGACAGCGATTGCAGCAGGTGGATCTGCAGCCACATTCACATTGGCTGCATCAGGCAATCTAACAAGCTATTATCGACAATCACACGTCAAGCGATGGGAGAACTGCCTGCAGCCGGCGGCGGCTGTTTGTAACAAGCTCGAACGGCTCGTACAAGTACTTCTGCTCTTCGGCCACGATCTTGGCAGACCAGGGTCGCAAGTCTTGGGCATCGACATCTTGACTGGGCTCACGGCGGAATCTGCACTGGTTCCCCCTCCCGCATCATCGGTCGCTTTGACACCTCAAGGTCTCATGTGGAAACTGCTACTACTGTACCAAATTGACCAAACTCTGACTCGAGATCAACTGCCTCCTGAATCGTCTGACCTCTCTCTACCTTCCTTGGCTGCTTTGGCATCTTTCTCCTCCGAATGCAGACAGTCTGAAGTTAAAGCAGTCACTCCAAAATGTGCCGCCGCCAGACCTGCCTTTTGTTTCTCTGCTTCTTTTTCTGCCTAGGCCGGTGCAGGGTGTCGAAGCATGTACCCAAGCTGACAGAATAAACACCGTCTTCGACTTCATCTTAAGCTGTTGAGTGCCCTATCCTACCGTCCCCGAACGTTCGAGATCCAGGCAGCAGCTTTCCTCTCCCTCGGTCGGGATGCACAGGCAAAAGCAACGGGGCACGTCGACGGGATGTCTAGTCAAGTAACAGTGCTGCTTGCTTTGCTTGTTCCTCGATCTCCGCAAGCTGCTTTGCTCTTGCATCCGCGGCCTATGGAACAGGATGAGCCATTGACGAGCCGAGCTCCGAGGGCAAAAGCAAAGATCGAGCACTGACGGACGCCTTGGTGTTTGCTGCCGGCCACCAATTCACTATGTACTGCTCTCGACCTGGCTTGACAAGCGTTGATAGAAAAACCCATCGCTGCAGTAGAAGCAGTGAACTCGCCTGTTGTGAAGTGATCCTCATCCAGCACGAGATCGTTCTTGAGTTCAGGTGGGCAATTGCTGCGCAGCCTGCAGACAAAGGCGCTCTCCATGCAGGCTGCGATGGATTTTTGGCTTCGCAGATCCAAGTGCAGCACATTTGCAGCTCCAGCTGCTCACTCCGCCGCAGCATTCGGAGCTTCCGAGTCACGGTGCTCTCCTCCTGCGGCGCCATCCACGACATGACTCTGGGTTTAGACAGACCCGGTGAATTGCGTCTCTCGTGCCCGTGGAATCTAGGCCCCTTCCCTCCTACACGCAAGGCAGGAAGGAAAAAAGGGAATGATTCGCTGACTCTCATGCGTGCCGGGGTCTCATTCGGCTCCCTGTTAGCTCCCTGTTAGGCCACCACTTCCAGCAATATGGCATCGCTGGCCTATGGCTGTGAACAAGGCACCAGAAACAGTGTGCCAAAATCAATCATCGACACAATGCAGGGGTGTTGCTCGACGAGACCCTAGCAGACCATGCAGAATAGAGGCTCGGAGATGAAGTACAGGCATCGACAACGCCTGCTTTTCAAGCCCTGCTGACTGGCCCTGCTGAGAAGGCAAAGACAGGGACAGGGAGAGAAAGACGTGCTTGCCTTCTTTATGGAATGGTGAATCCCCGCCAGGACTTCCAGCAATTCCACAGAGGAAGCTTGAGGTCAAGCACCTTAGAGACCTGCTTCTAGCATCTGCGGGAATCGAGGTGACTGTTTTTACGCTGGTCGCCATCGCTATTCTCTGACTCATATCACCGCACGCCGTTCATGAGCTTAGACTGTGAATCAGGACAGGAACCGTACCCTCGGTGAGGCTCTGGCTCTGGAGTTCGATGGTTTGCCGTGTTCGCGGTCGGCAAGTCTTACACGACCTTCTCAAGCATTCGACCGCTGCTCGTGGCAGAAAGTATGCTCTGCGTTTGAAGGGGATGCGATCAGAGCACAGTGCCACGATGCAAGCTGCCCCAAACCCTTCCGGGAACGTCGACAGCTGAAAAGCACAACTACAGCAAAGACTAACTCGATCTTGTTCGACCCTGCGAAAGTGGAGACAACAAAGAACTTGGCTTTACATGCCGGTGCAGCTCAATGGCATCTTGCGGCATTGAGAGAATGAAGCGCTGCAACCGTCTCCGAATCATACTTCCCTGTACCTCCAGAGGCAGCAGCAGTACTGGTATACGGGATTTGTTCGAAATGGCCTCTGTTGTCAATTTTACAAGTCGGGTGCTGCAGCTGTCACAAGACTGACGAATAGCCGTCGAACTAGAGCTACTAGACCAAGTTCTCAAACATCCCATGATCACCATGCTCCAAAAGAGCGGGACAGGCAGAAAGAAAAAGAGAAGCATCGAGCAAGTAGTTTCCTTTGCATGGGACATACTTGCGATTTTGTCTGGCTAAGGAAGGAACACTAGTTCCACTACTAGTTGCATGCAAAACAGACTACCTGGCAGAAGCCGTCACCAACTTCAGAAAGTGGCAACAACTGAAGCGGCACTCTGTACATGTTCTCAGACATGATGGTTCGTGGAGCAGGTCCTCGCTGACTGTCCGCTCCGGATAGTTTGAGACTGCCAGGTTGGAAGTTAGGGAGGTGATCTGGCAGCCCTTGCCACGCATGGGATC